CAATTTAACATTAGTTATTTTTCATGTGTTGAGAGTTATTTCTTTTCTACTGTACTATGTTTTAGAACTCTAGGCCCAGCCCTGCTCTACCCAAAGCCACAGGATTATCTGTAATACAAGAACTTTCTGTATTTTGCAGACAGGAAAAAACACAATGCTCCAAATCCAGCTGCTATCAATATAACTTCTCATCTTGTGTCAGGGCAGACATATAGCTGTTATTCTGGATCTGAAAAAAAGAATCAGGCCCCTCACTGAAACAGTGATGGAAGCCCCTCAGTTGAAACGATAGGTTTTTAATCATCGCAATTAAAAACCCACCACTTCAATTTAGGGGACTAAATCCCCATCATGTGTACAAGCATCCATGATGTGAAATACTGACTGTTGCTGCATGAAATTCCTTCAATTTCTATTCTGATATCAGTAACTGGGGCATCAGCATGTGCACTGCAACATCAGCTTCCTCTGAATTTATTCCTTCACTATTGAACATATATTATCTGGAAAGGCACCAACAATTGAACTTTCCCTAGTGTATACGCAGATTTCAGCTGGTCTTTCTGGAATGTGAGTATCCATCTTTGAATCCTTGGAGAAGCACAGCACAGTACAATTTTCTTTTGTTTTAAGTAGCTCCAAAGAGGCTTGCAGTCTGTTTCAGCAAGCACATTTTCCCCCCATATATATACCAGTATAATAGACTACAGCCAAGTGCTCTTGCTTCCTTTTCTATTTCTGGTGTGTTGTCAAAACTTTAAATGCATAAGCAACAGGAGTTATAGGAGTGGGGGGTTTTAAATTTGTTTTTTGTTTTTTGGTGGGTTTTGGGTTGTTTTTTTTTTAAAGCAATACAGCCCCTAATCTAGTGGAACTCATATTTACAGAAACAGTTTCTGGTTCTTTGACGTTAAAGTACTTCAGTACCGGTGTCCCTATGAACAATTCTTTCAAATGTTTAAATGCCATTTCATGCTACAGCATGTAGGCAAAGTCAGCATTTACAGCTGTTTTAAGGGAGTATAATTGTTGAAAAATGTAGAATACACTCAACCAGAATAATTTCAGCTCTATTTGGCACTAGTAAGGCCTCACACATGGAGTAACATGTCCATTTTTTGGCTCCACACTTCAAGAAAAATGTGAACAGATTGGAAAGAGTCCAGGAGAGAGTGACAAAACTTATTAGAGGCCTCAGAAACATGATTTATGAGGAAAGGCTGAAAGGACTAGGATTATGTAGCATGGAGAAAAGACTGAAGGAGGATTTAATAACAGTCTTCAAATACTTTAAGTGTGTTTACAACGAGGATGGCAATAAACTTTTCTATGTGGCTGCATGAGATAGGGCTAGGAGCTATGGCCTCAAACTTCAGCAGGGGAAATTTGAGTTGGAGATTAGGAAGAACTTCCTGACTACAAGGGTGGTCAAATGTTGGAACAGATTACCTAGAGAAGTTGTAGGATCTCCATCCTTGGAAACTTTCAAGAGCAGGTTAGACAGACACTTGGTTGGGAAGGTTTAGTCAGGGATGCTCCTGCCTTAAGCAGGGGACTGGACTAGATGATCTTGTGAGGCCCCTTCCAGCCCTACTTTCCTATAATCCTAGGATAAACCTATAATCTTAAGCAACCTTTCCTAGGAATTTTTTGCAAATTCAGCCTTGTTGATTGGTACAATTATTTCTTTCATTGCAACAGTTTAAGTCATCAGATTTAAGGTCTTCTTTTGCCAAATATTTTCTTTCTGTCAAAACGAGCTCTCAGACTAACAACACATCCCAAACTTTCCTAAACCTCTTATCATGGGCTCACAGGCAGCTCCACAGAAAGTGAAGAGACAGAGCCCAGGTAGACATGGCATGCACAGAAGCAGCAGCACAATGCCTATGGCTGAGTATGCTAGCCAGGATAGCTCAACAGTATCCTCCTTCCACTCCAGGATACTTTCATCTGCCAACAACAGCAATTTATCAGGGCTTGGCTTGTCAAGGAGAAACTAATTCGCTGCTATGTTTCTGGCTCATGTCACAGCAGTGGAGCTTGTATCCATTTGCATAGTACTTCACTTACTGCTGCAGTATGTCCAGGTCAGAGAGCAGCCTGGCTCACTGTCTGCATTTGCAGCAGACCCTATAGCGAGTGCTCCTCTCTCAGCAGAGCTGTGCTCTCCAGCCTCTGACAAACTTCCTTCATGGAGGGAATGGCCAACCCAGGGAGGAGATGCAATATTAGTTGGGGAAGGCACTGGAGGGAAAGCAGCTCTCTGTGGGGACAATTTTGCTGAACTCGTGCCAACAGCTCCTAAGGCACAATGGATCAGATTTGCACTTGACTCTCACACTCAGCGCTGAGACCCAGGTGGGGAGGTTGGACTGAATACACTCGGTGCACGGCAGAATCCTGCAAGCACTGGCACCAGGGGAAGGAGCCGAGGACAGGTGAGGTTTCTGCTTTGCCCCCTCATACTCAGAGCAGAGACTGAGAATGGGCATTATTGATATATGCCACAGGAACATGGTGCTGTGCTCTGAGAATGAGTGCAGGACAGGTTGGTGGATGGACCAATAGTGGCCAATTCCACTAGCTTGTTGAGGCCAGGCAGAGCAGTGGGGAAGGGTTGATGTCTTGGAAATCTCCTGTGTTTGATGAAAGGCCTGAGGGCATGGCTGCCAAGATTTGGGGCATGTCATAGTTTCATAGTTTCATAGTTTTAGGGTCGGAAGGGACCTAATAGATCTTCTAGCCCGACCCCCCGCCAGGGCGGGAGAACAACAAAAGAACCCTAAACAGGGTTCTATGTCAGGAAGGGACTGTCACACAGGGCCCTGCCTTGTCCTGGCTCCTACCTAGGAATGGCTTGAACAGCAGCCAAGTGGTAACACAGCATTGCTGAATGACTCCAAAGCCCACCGTTCTGAGTTGTGGTTGTACCATTCCTGTCTCGTAGCCCCGAAGTCTCAGAGTTCCTATTATGGGGGTGGTGCCCGCTTAGACCTGTGTGTGCAAGAACAGCAGCATTTGACTCCTGTTCAAGAGTGTGCCTGCGGTCACCATCTTGACCCACTGGGAGGGAGGGAGTGACCCCAGGAATCAGTAGTGCTGGGGTGTGGTGGACCCAGACCTGCTGCTCCTTCAAAAAAGCCTCAGTGGCCCTGGCATGTAACCCCTTTGCTCTCCTAGGCAGCTGGGATGAACCCAAGCCATGTTCTGACTGCCCATGGAAACAGGGAAGTATTGGGACAAAAGATTTGTTGGCCTGGCCAAGCCCCAGGGGCAATGGGGCTCTATAATCTTCTTATAGATTCATAGACACAGGGGCTGGAAGGGACCTCGGAAGATCATCGAGTTCAGCCCCCCGCCCAAAGGGCAGGAAGTCAGCTGGGGTCATAGGATCTAGTCTAGGCCATGGCAAAACCGTAGGCCATGGTGCTTCCTGACATGTTGATAGACACCCCGATACCCTGCCCAGTCAGTGCCCCTGTGGGTATTACTTACAAGCATTACCAACCAATGTCTCATTCAGGATAATACTGAATCGTCCATCCAGCCAGGATTTTGGATTCTCTGATGCTCTTTTTCTGTGTCTCTCCTAAATGTACATCTCTTTCAAACAGTGCATCCAGCGCTTTGCTGAAGTTATTTCTACACCCGGGTTAATGTTTTTGGCTAGAGTTAAAAGCACTCTCCAGGGCTGTGAAATAGGAGCTACATTACCAGGGACACCTAGCAGACATCAGAATTGCAAAACAATGGCTATCTTGATTAGTGGAACCATTAAAGACCATTCAAAAGAGAGAGTGTCATTAACACCTGCAGAATGGAGAGCTTAGAAGTTCAGGTATGTTATATAAGCCATGATGTCAATTGTCTCTGTTACCGATGCCTGAATAGCAATGCTGCTTCCACTGTCAGGCAGTTGATTTTAAACTCTGGGTGGAACAGGAATAAAAAAGGGTGCAACTGCACTTCTTGATTTCATCTGGATCTGCCCCTGCTTGTGGGTGTGTCTGTACCCATTGTTCCCAACTTTGGTAGATTCAAAGTGTCCCCTCCATAACTATCCTGAATGTGATGGTCCCCTGGTTGAGAATCACTGTTCTAAAGTTTCAACTTACCTATTTTATTATAAGCTTAACACAGGCAGTAATGCCTGTTCCTGAAGCCACTTCCTGCTCTACCTCTGCAGCCCCCTGCTGGAAAGAAATGCCTATAGGGAAGTTTAACTTGCCTGTGGCAGCAGCAAACAGTGGTGTCACCAGTGACGCCTCTGCATCCAGGTTGGGAATGATTTGTCTACACATACCACTCTAATGCAGTGTAGAGCTATCCCCATGAGTACTAAATGAGCCAGTTCATATACCAGAAGCAGTTTTACTTGCATTAGCATGGAATAATTTTCTCTGCCTTCCGGGTATCTTGTGTACTTCAGTTACCACGTGTAGACGTGCTGCGAAACTCCTCAACACAAAATATCTAGGTTCCTATCTTTAAGTGCCATAGCCATAAAGAAATGCCTAACTACAGTTCAGCAATGCATAGTTACTACTGTTTCCAGTAATCTGTTAGGGAACTTTTATTGTGAAGAGGATTAGACATGAATCACTATTAATCTTATGTGTGCTGTTCGCAGCAGTTTGGAAAAAAGGCAAGAAGAAAAACCTCTTCAAAATCACTACTAAATTCAAGTAAACTGGGATACCTGATTACTTCAGGCTGTCATCTAGGGTGGCCACCCATCTCTAATTTGGCAGGATAATCCCAAAATGGGAACCTTAAATCCCAGTCCTGGGTTGCAAAACTCTGGGAAAGCATTTTTCTCGGATTCACAGTGTCATGCAGGGGTCTGGGTTTTCCATTTGTCGTGGAAAACCACAGGAAATGCTGGGTTTCCCCTTGCAGTCTGGCAGTGTTCCAGCTTGCACGAGTGGGGTGTGGGGCAGCGGGAGAGGCAGGCATGTGTCCCACCTTACCATTTTGAAAAGGTGGCCACCCTACTGCCATCTGACTTTTCTGGCTCATCACAAATGCTGTTCCTTTAAGAGAAAACACTTCTCTTCTGACATGATTCTCTTTTCTTTGAAAATTGCTTCATATTTCCTCTTGCTGTTGCTTTTACTTTCCAGCTCAGCAAGAAAAAAAACACCTTTATTAGTTTGGAACAAAAAGATAATTCTTTAAAAGCCTTAAGGAAAGGCTATGATCAAATCCTGAGGCCATTTTATAGCCAAAATTAGCTGTGTAAGGCGATCGATGGAAAGTTTATATTTCAAACACGTAACTTGACAAAACAACTGACTTGGCAAAGCTGACTATAAGATTTGATGGGCTGGCACACCCTCAAGATCATACAACTTCCCCAAGGGAACATGTGGGTAAGTGAGCTTTTACTGCTTGACTGCCTTTTATGTAACTGAACTCTAATAGACACTGCTTTTTTGATAGATCAATTATTTATACAAAGACTAAATAATACTTTCTTTTATTCTCTATGTAAATAATTTATTACATGTGCAATAAAATACATTTAAGAAAATATCCACAGCAAAGGAAGCAAATATATATCCCAAGGGCTCCCAAGGGAGGTGGTGCTCTCCCCTACCCTGGGGGTCTTCAAGAGGAGGTTAGATAGGCATCTAGCTGGGGTCATCTAGACCCAGCACCCTTTCCTACCTATGCAGGGGGTCGAACTCGATGATCTGTTGAGGTCCCACCCGACCCTAACATCTATGAATCTACGAATCTATATCCTACTGAATGTGGACCTGCTCTGATTTTGGCTAGCTCGTTTCTCGTATCATCTGCCACAAAGCAGATACTGGAGCAAGTACAGTCTACGTAAGGCATGGGCACAGGACCAACAGTGTTACAGGGCTGCCCCTTCCTTGCGGAAAAGTTAAGATCCATCTCAGGGACTGGGTATTTCTATGCCTTCACATCCTGTATAGGTCACTCAGCTTCATTCATCTGTTTTGCTATGGCAACAACAACAACGGGGAGAATCATGGCTCTCACCCCATCCTAATTAATAAACTAGGCGACTGTGGCATAGATGCCTACACAGTCAGATGGATTGCAGATTGGCTGAAGGGTCACACTCAGAGGGGCTAGCAGGGAGAGAGAGATTGCAGAAGGATCTGGATAGGTTACAGGGGTGGGCAAACAGGAACAGGATGTGTTTCAATACGGACAAGTGCAGGGTGCTGCACTTGGGTAGTAGGAACCAGCAGCACACTTATACGATGGGGAGCTCCCTACTTGAGAGCACGGAGGTGGAAAGGGATCTTGGTGTCATTATTGACTCCAAGATGAACATGGGCCGACAATGCGAGGTCATGGTTGGCAGGGCTAACCGGACCTTGTCGTGCATCCACAGGTGCATCTCGAGTAGAGCCAGGGAGGTGATCCTCCCCCTCTATGCGACGCTGGTCAGGCCGCAGCTGGAGTATTGTGTCCAGTTCTGTGCGCCCCATTTCAGGAGGGATGTGGACAACATGGAGAGGGTCCAGAGGAGGGCCACCCGCATGATCCGGGGACAACAGGGCAGACCCTACAGTGAGAGACTGCGGGACCTGAACCTATTCAGCCTCCACAAGAGAAGGCTGAGGGGGGACCTGGTGACCGTCTATAAACTCATAGGGGGAACCAGAAGGGTTTGGGGGAGACGCAGTTTCCCCTAGCCCCCGCTGGCATAACAAGGAGTAATGGGCACAAGTTGATGGAGAGGAGGTACAGATTGGACATCCGAAAAAACTACTTCACAGTTAGGGCGGCTAGGAGCTGGAACCAACTTCCAAGGGAGGTGGTGCTGGCCCCTACCCTGGGGGTCTTTAAGAAGAGGCTGGATGCCTACCTGGCTGGACTCATTTGAGTCCTGTTTTTTGTTTTTAGGGTTTTTTGTTGTTCTCCCGCCCTGGCGGGGGGGCGGGCTGGAAGATCTATTAGGTCCCTTCCGACCCTAAAACTATGAAACTATGAAACTATGAAACTATGGCATGGTCATGAGAAAACTATGCAAGAGCAGTAATTGAGTGGATTTACTGGGTTTTGCAAGGGCTTAGAAAAATGCTACAGGAATGATTTAAGCCAGGAAAATATGATTCACAGCAGAGACTTAAGGAAGTCAGTTAAGTAAAATAATCCAAAATAAGAGAAAAAACTGGTGAAGAGCTTTTTGATCAGGGATGCCTCTTCCCTGTCCAAAATGGAGGAAAAATAAAATCCATTAAAGACACCATCCTGGAAATTCAGAAAATGTGAAGTTTTCATATAGGGAAATTATCAGATGGAACAATTTGCCTGGGATAGGCTGGATTTGTTATCATCTGTAGTCTTTAAATAAATAATTTCTCTTTATAAAAATTACGCTATGGTTCACATGCAAATGGTGGGTGTGTAATAGATGGATTCCTCTGTGAGATTCTCTGACTGGAGTTATGCAGAAGGACAGGCTAGCTTATTTTTGAAATCTCCAACTATGCTGGCATTTCCACTTCATCATCACTGTTGTATGCCCTTCCAGAATGTGGGAGCTCACCAAATGTAAATGACTGAAAACCAGGAAATACTAAATTATTTTTCACCCATTTATTCAAAGAATGGAATAAGCAGACAGATACCTATATATCATTTCCAGCCCCAAGAAAGGGAAATTGGGAGGCATTTTGGAGTAAGTATTGAAATTGTGTTTCTCTACTTTCTCCTATTTTTTTGGTTCTAGACTTTAGGTGCAAAAAACTGATGATGCCCAGTTGGTTGGTTTGCTCCCTTTTTCCTCCTCTCTTTTTCCTGCATTGCAAATTTTAAAAACTTTTACTATTTTGTACAAAAATCACAGAATTATTTTTTTCCCTTTGACCCTTTAACTGCCCAATGCTGGATATGGTTTAGGAATCTAGAGTGATTTCACGAGAGTTGAAGTTACAAAGTGGGAAAAGGAAAGGAAAGAGAAAAAGGAAAACTCATTAATCCTTTATTTATTGCTAGCAGGAGTTTGAAGAGCTAAAAGAGGATGAATCAAAGAAAGAGTGAGAAAAATATAATTTAAATTTTTGACATAAAAATAAATGTTTTTAAAATAAAACAATGTTTTCAAGGTCTCTTTTCCTTGCTATAAGATCATGGTTGTTCAAAAACCCTTCCTTTTTTAATACAATAGATCTGTATATTATGTCTTGATTTACCCTATAAATCACTGGGAATGCAATGGAAAAAGCAGAATTTGATACTTATTCTATAATCCTTTCCCCTCCTTTTTTTTGCTGTATGATTGGAATCAATTCCCATTTCAAAAGGTGATAGAGATGCTTGCAACTGAGTGCACCGCTTAGTTGCAATTGATCCAATAGAAGATATTATCCCCTAAAAACCTGCTTCTTGCATATTCCCTAGACCATTAAAGCCACAACAACACAACAATAAAATGTGGAAGCCACATAGTAAAATGTGGAAGGTCTACAGTATTTTTTTATTCACCATATAATTTTTAGTAAAGGAAGGCTGAGGTTTCAGTGGCTGCTTTTGCTTCATAACTTACTCGGTTTACTGCGTACATCCTTTCTGTATTACATGTACTATCTGCTGTCTTCTAGCCATCTTCATCCATACAATGTATGGAATCATTGATTTGTGCTCATGAGACTTAGGTTTTTCCTCTCCCTTTGGGCTTTCAGATTCAAAGTACAATGAAGAAGATGACTTTCTTATTACGCCATATCTCCAGACCAAGCAGCTTGCTTCATGTTTTAATCATTTTCTGTATCACTTTGAAAATTCATCAGGCAAAATCAGGTAGGAAGCCCATTGCTTCAATATGTTTTCTGCTGCTACTCAGAAAGTAAGCTGTTTTATTTAGAAATTGACTGGTTCTAGTCTTTCATAGAAAATTGAACAAAAGCAACCACAAGTTCTAAAACAGATGAATATAAAAAGAAGTGTGTTCCCCAGTCAGCCACATCTATTTGTTCATTTGATCATAGTCCCTCATTATCATAGTCTGTATAAAATATATCATTTTTACCCAGTGTCGCCTCAAAAACTTAGTTGAAGAGAAGGAATAATAAAAATAAATAAAATAAAATAAAATAAAACAAACCAGATAAAAATACCTCTTTCCCTTTGGAAATTCCATCCCAAGCAGGGATGAATAATCAAAATTAAAGATAAAGTTATTAACTATGCCTACAGTTAAGATTACAGGTAGAGTTATCAAGCTTACAAGTAGAATCAAAGATTACAGGTAGAGTTGTTAAGTGTGCCTGACACTTTTTGTTTCCAATCCCCCATAAATTTGTCAGTTTAGATAGGCAGACAAGGTTCCTTGGGTGAATTTGATATCTTTTATTAGACCAACCCAAATAGCTGGAGAATATTTATAGATAGATAGAAATTCGATAGATTAGATAGAAATTTTCCTAGCTTAACATCTGTCTCATGATGACTTTTTGGAAATGTATACTTTCTCTCTGTATTTATATTAGCTCTGTTTTGACATATTTCACAGCCCAGTTTACAGCTGTTGGACCTGATCAGCCAGTCACTGCCATTGTAGGGCAGGAAATTGTGTTACCTTGTCACCTGTCCCCTAATATGAACGCTCAGAACATGGAAGTGAGATGGTTCCGATCCATGTTTGATAACTACGTGCACCTGTATCGCAATGGGAAAGATCAATATACTAACCAGATTCTAGAATATCAGAGAAGGACGGCTCTTCTGAAAGATGACATGGTAAATGGAAATGTTCCCTTGAGAATCCTCAACATCACACGCTCAGATGAAGGGGAATACCACTGTTTTATTCGAGGTGATACTTCTTATGCAGAAACGAAATTGGACCTGGAGGTAGCAGGTCAGTGACTTTTGTCTATATTATCTTTGTATGGTATACAGACCTTTTTTCTTTCCTAATTATGTCAGTTTTCTGTAACTTGTATTTGAATTATTTTACAGTAACACACACTATCTAAATATTAGTCAGCGACTATAATCACACTTTAGAAAATATCTTTCCGATTTTTCCAAATATTAGCACGTACATTCTCAGAATGGCCAAGGGACTTCCTTGCCCAAAAGTAATCCCCAGTGGCCTCAGAAGGGTTCTTTAATTAGAAAGGAAACAACATCTTGATAAACATGTGCGTTAAATGCATACCTTAATTTCTAAGATATGTAACTTAGATGGAATTATGTAAGTCATATAGGCTTCTGATTGTTACCCTCGTTGTTTTAAGCTTGGGTAAAAGTCAAATGTTATGGTTTGCTTGGTACAATCCAGGTAACATTCAGGAGGAAACTGTTAAATGAGGCTGGGCATTTATCTTGTACTGCTTTGACACTGTACATCGGGGGCGGACAATTATTTTGGGCAGAGGGCCATTTACTGAGTTTTGGAAAGCCATTGAGGGCTGAATGACAGGCAGCCCAGGACAGATTAATATTAATTTTCTACATTTTTTAGGGGCCCCGCAGGCCAGATAGAATGGCCTGGCAGGCTGCATCCGGCCCCCAGGCTGCATTTTGCCCACCCCTGCTGTACATGGAGTCAGAGAGATTTATTTATAAACAAAGGACTAGATGGGATTTCCTAGTCCCCTGCTTTTTCAGGGAATACATCATAAAATTCTTATCATTAGTTTATTGAACTTTGTTGTAAATGTGGTTGTTTTGCCCCCACTATTCCAAAAGGAAGGCTGCTCTTGGTTGGTGTTTTGCTTATGAAATTTATTTTCATTTGTAGCCCATATTTGTGATTAGATTATATCAATTTTTTCTTGTATCAACATTACTGTTTAGCTTGTTTCGTTCTTTTGTGTTCCTTGTGTTTTCCTGCCTGCTGTACTTACAGAGAGCAAACCTATCTCTGTTGGCCTTCATTTTGCAAAACTAAATGAGCCAAAATATTCTAGTGTGTTCTTGTACAAGGAACTTTCCATTCCCCTAATTATTTTATTGGCACTCCTCTAATCATCTTCGTGGCATCTCTTCTTGGCATTCATCTTTCTTGAACTAATGACCAGAACTGTACACTGTATTCCTATGATTAGGGGAATGGAAAGTTCCCTGTACAAGAACACACAGAGTGGCGGGATTGGGGGTGAAGTGGGGCCAGTGTCAGACCCAGAGTGGCAGAAGGTGGGGGCGGGGAGTGGGGCTGGACATGGAGCAGCAGGATGGTGGGTAGTGGGCCCAGATGCGGGGGGGGGGGGGGTGCAGGGCTGGACTCAGGGCTCTGTCCCCTCCCACCCACCCCCATCATTCTTGACAGACAATTTGCTAATATAGTTATAGTGACTTTACTAAAATAAGTTTTTTGAAAGAATGGAAATATGGGATACTTCATTGATTTAAATGGTATAATCAATAATACAAAGAGCCATGTAATGCTCTTGGAAGAAGGGAACAAAAAAATATGTTGAAGTAAGCTGTTAGCTTGAACCTTTGAAATGGCTGATGAGATGATGAACTTTCATGTACTCGTTGATTTCCCAGGTTGAATGAGGGGACACAGTGTGATGCAGCTGTGAATGTGTCATTCAATCCTAATAGGACATATGAGTCCATGTATTTCCAATAGAGACAGCAAAGTATTAATAGCATTGTACAGTCCCAATTCCCCCTCTCTGCCCCCGCTCCTCGCCACTCCGGGTCTGGCCCTACCCCACTCCTCACTGCTCTGGGTCTGGACCAGCTCTACATCCCCCTCCCCCCCCAGTCTGAGTCCAGTCTCGCTCCCCAACCCCGGCCACTCCTTGTCTGGCCCCACTCCCCACCCCACACCGCTGCAAGTCCATGGGACTCTACAAAAGTTGATCATGGATTTTACAGAAATATACCTACTTTTCCTCTAGGTTTAGGTTCTGCTCCTCTTATTTCTGTTGAAGATTATCAGGATGGAGGGATCAGAGTTGTTTGTCGATCAGCTGGGTGGTACCCAGTGCCTGAAGTCCTGTGGAGACATGCCAGCGGGCAACAGTTACCATCACTTTCTGAAACAAAATCCCAAAAGGGGGATGGCCTGTTTGAAACAGAAAATTCAATCATTATAAAACATCATTCAAACCAGAACTTGTCTTGTTGCATCAGGAACAACTTCATCAATCAAACGAAGGAATCAGCAGTTTATATATCAGGTCAGTTACCATCCAGAAACAACGTGAAATGCAGAGGAAAGCAAAGCACAACAAAATAAAGCCAGCATTCATGTATATGTTTTTGTAAGCAAGAAGGGAGGATGGGAGGCTGTTATTCCTGTGGGCCAGTGTTCATCCATTTTGATTACTTTCATTGTGACTTTCAGAATTTGAAATTCCATGTAAAAATAACTCTGAATTTTCTAAAGCTCTATCTTAATGAACAGAACAAAGAATGAAAATCTATTTCCCTTTGTGCATCTAAATAACAGTTTTTACCCACATAACTTCCAAAAAACACTCATGCACAGGTAGCAACTCTTCCCCAGCCGATGTGGGCACTTAGGTAGGTACATATAGATTGGGCTTGTTTTGTAGGTCATGTACTGGCTAGATATGTAAGGGGCTATATAGGCATGTCCCTTGTGGATACAGAAAAGCTCCTATGGTACCAGAATGTAGATAGCCAGAAACACATTAGACCTGGAGCAGGGGAAAGGAAGCAGGGGGCCCTATCCTGGAGCTTCATTCCTTGCACTGCCCTTTACCCATTTTATTCAATGACTACTAATTGGAAGTGGTGGGAGGCTGGGGTGGCGCAGATGCTAAGGTGCAAATTGGCAGCCCAGAGGTTGCAAGTTTGAGGCCAAAGCAGAAGCGCTCATGGTGTGGCCCTTCCTGATTCCAATGAATCTGTGAATTCTGCGAAATACCTTGTCACGGGGACATGAAAAAGGAAGGAATTGCAAGTGGCTATGGCTCAGCTCTCCAAGGGGAGCATCAGAGGGCCTGCATAACACCTAACCTATGGTGTAGAAACTGGAGCACAGTATTGGAAAGTGAGGGAGATGCAGGTTTGAACCTTCTGGGTCCATTCCAACAAGCGCATATGTGCAGGGGCATGTGTTTCACATGAGACAAATAGCAGCGGCACATACTTGTGCCGCTGCTATTTGTCCTTGGGCATGCTCCTGCACATGTTGGCCCCAGTAGCCTTACCTGGAGTTCTGGGGGCCTCCTGGGGCAGCAGTGGTGCTGAGCCAGCTGCTTGGAGCCTGGCCCGCAGCCAGAACATGCCTCTGGCTGGCCAGGTTCCCTTTCTGGTGTTGCACACTGGATCCCAGCATCAAAAAAACCTGCTGCACTGCTAATTAGCAGTGGGGAGAACAGGTTCATATGCCCCTGTATGTGTGCAGTTTGCAGTGCCTCATTGCTTTGAGACATCGCAAACCACATGTGCACACTTGTCAAAATGTGCCCTCTGTGGGCAACAGGGGCCTAAAATCCAGGTCCCTGGGTTTCTAGGCTCATACTGTAAGCATTTAGCTTTTGAAGCTAAAATATTGGCAAGTCCTCCTCTCTGCATTATTTTTCCTGAACTCCTGTGCTGACATTGCATATGTGCAGTCTGCTTGTGTAGGTTTATGCAACCAATGTGTAAAGGGGGGCCACAACCAGCCAGATAAGTATTTAGAAAGCTGCCACTTAGACATGAAAAAGGAAACAGAATTCCACTCAACGAAACGCTGATGGACTATTCACTTAACCCACCAGTTCATCATTTGTTGTATGAAATGCAGATTAAGGGCTAGACTTACACTAGTTATATAGGCATTACATCAGACTCAGTTTGAATTTTGGCATCTAAATTTCAGTCCAGATTGGCCATGCTCCAGCAGACAAGAAATGCTTGAAATACCTCCATTTTGGATTGCAAAGTTCCTAGGCACCTCCACAGACAAGGTCGTGCTCCTGCACTTTGTGGCATTGGCCATCTGTCAGCAACATGCCGCTCAGGGGGAACCTCAGCACCAGGCTCCAGCTCCATGCTCAGCTGTGGCAACAGGCCCAGCCACATGTATACCTGCCTCACCAGACCTTCAAGGGCCTGAGTGATCATGGCTGCACTGTGTTGACGCTTTTCCAGTTGTCTGGGACATAACCCATCTCACATTACTTTATCAATATTGTTGACAAGGGCTCTGAGAGCTCTCCTTCCAGTTTCTTCAATACCCTGAGCTAAGTTGGTGTAATGAACACCTCCGATTTGAACTGCAGCATGTTGCAAGGTGGTGGATAATGGTGTGAGTCAATAAAACTTGATGTAGCTGAAGGTGTGGTGTGGCTGGGCCTGTCACCAGGCCTGGGTCCTACCTGTGACTAGGGTTGGGGCTCCTCCTTAGCAGCAAGTGACCAGTCATCCCTCTACTTAGTTTTCCCAAACCAGTCCCACCCTGCTCCCTTATCCAGTGCCCAGTCACTCAGCCATCATGAAGCCTCCCTCCTAATCTCCTCACCATGTTCCCTGTGCCAGGCTACCTACCTGAGTTGTCCTTAACTAATCTTTAGGTCCTTCTCAAGTCCCCTTTACTCCCCTCTAGTCTCCAGTCTCCTCTCTCACACCCTGGTCCTTACGGCATTTCTACCTAGCCTAGTTCTGTCTTGGCTCTTCATCAGCTGCCTGATTCACATTGGCTGGCTCACACTTCTCCTACCTGCTGCTTGCGGCCCACAGGGACCCTTATATGTGAGCCAGGTGAAGACTGGCTGTAAAGTTGTATAGCAGCAGCAGCTGCTAAATCTTGCTACTCATAGTTTTGGCATAACTAACTTTCTTCAGGGTACTCAGGCCCAGTCAGCTGCTAGACACTCATAGGGGCACAGCAGAACTGCTCTGAGATGTAGGTGGCCTTTGCAGCCATTTTAGACCCCTCTAAAATGTACACTCAGTGGCCACAGATGTTGCAGATGTTGGATAATGCACTTAGGCCTTTGTTGAAAATTCTAAATCGAGATAAATAGAAGAGCAGAAAGAGAGTTATACAACTAAATGGCAGGTAATTTTTAATTACATGTTTAGTAGGTGAAACAGGACCTGGCAGTTTGTGAATAAATGTGGTTAAACTGATGCAACTTGATTTTTGTGGCCTGCCGGTGAATACATTTCAGAATGATTGAATGGTAGTGTAAGAATGATGCTGTAGCTGTGATGGTCCATAAATGATGTGAAAGGCAAAGATTTCTTTCAGTGCTATTTTTCATTGAACCAACTATGTAGCTGGGATAGTTAGACAAGACTGAATGATAGAAGAGAGGAGAGCATCAGTGTAAATAAATCAGTGGACATACTGAGCATGAAGGACATTTCAGACAGTCTTGAACCCTACCCTGATGCAAACATTTAAAAATTATAAGTAGGCAAATTTCTGCATAAATATTTGGCTGAATTTAAATATTTGGGAGAAAAATTGGATTTCAAAATAATATGATATTTTCCCTGGCTTTTAAATGCTGCTGAGCACTGAGAGGCAAATTGTTTCCTGGTGTAAGTCAACTGACATTAGTCTCATTATAGAGGCAGAGAACGTGGTCATGACACAAAGAGCACTGAATCAAACCCGACCTGTTTACTCGTTGATAAATCCATGTCAAAAGTCTGTTGGTTGAAGTCATTTTTAAAATCAATTTCTGGAGATTTGTCCAGTGCTGAGGGGGTCCTACTGACACCCTCCTCACAGACTAATCCTGCTGAGGACTATGTACATATATCTATGGAATAAACACATTTAATATTTCTCATTGTTGCAAATGAATGCGAGTCTGTGCCATTTTGCTTTTCAGATCCCTTTTTCCCCAGGGTGAATCCCTGGATGGTGGTGTTATGTGGAAGCCTTGTGGTTTTGTTTGGTTTCTTGGCCCTGGCAGTTTGTCTCTTCAGAACGAGAGGTAAATATCAAGGGGAGGGAAATATTTTATTTGACAAGAGCTGTCTCATCTACTAAGTCAAAAAAGGGTAAAAATGGGATTTTTCATCAGTCTAAGCATGGGGAACCATGGTGGTGTTCTGCTGCAAAAACAGCCCAGGTAAGGAATTCGATACTAAGGGCAAGCTCACACAGCAAAATGAAGATGTAATTGTAGCATGTGTTAACAGACCTGTGTTAATTTTGTTCAGGTGGCATGGGTGACATTAGCAGTGAAGATGCACTGGGTCTAGCTTTTTCATGTGTTAGCAGGTAGAGTACAAACCCTTCAGGGACCTAGACAAGGAATCTGGTTGCTATCACAAACTCCTTCACATAGGCGACTGATGCCTCCTGAGTCAGGGGGGGCATCTGCCCCCCGCCCCCCCCAGAGGCCAGTCAGTGACCGGGGTGGGGGTTCCCCTGCAGCTGATCATGCCAACCCAGAAGTGCCAGCGGAGCTCCTGGAAGCGCCAGTGGTGCTTCTCCTGGTGCCCCCACTCCCTGGCTTGCAGGGGGGGCACCAGTGCTCCCACCTGCCCCCCCTGCCCATCACCTAAGTGAGGAGCGCTGGCTGACAGGGGGTGCACTGGCACTCTCAAGGGGGCACGTGCACCCCCTACATTTTGCCACTGCTCTTGGCAGCTTGCCTTGTATTTAACTGTTATGCATATCTACTTCTATCCCAGTAGAAGAGAGTGAAACCTCTGTAAATTATTTTAATGTCACACCAGCACAAGAAAGAAACAAGAACACATTTGAAGTTAGTTCACCCTAGCTTTTACAAGAATGGGCAGGTGTGACTGTTAAATGGATCTATTTCTACTCCCAATCTATGTGTGCAGATATTAGTTCCTTTACTGGGGTGGACACTAAGTTGGTTGAGTGTCTTTTTCTCTCAGATGAATAGTAAATCTCTTGCACAGATGTTGAATCCTCACAAAGATGCTTGTGTGCTTTGCTTTATTTGGTGGGGAATTATTTGTTCTTTACATTAACTAAAACCTGAAACTTCTTATCTTTGCATTAAGGGCATGAAACTATCAAGTTGTGTTAATTATGCAAAAACTTTTGCATGCCTCATGTGCATCTCTTCAAAACACAGGTGCCTTTCATCCATGAGAATTCACTCCTTTAACCATAATAAACAATTGCACTTCCTAATACTAATCACTACTCTTTTCAATTTGTTTAGGGAAACTTAATGAAGAGATTGGTAAGTGTCATTATCTTTCTTTCAACCAATAATATTTTTGTTCAGTGGGAGAGTCCTTTAATGCGTTTCATTTTATTTATAGGATTTTTAAAATTGAGTAAAAAATGAGTTGAGAATGAAACTTTCACATTGAGTCTTGATATGAAAAAATGTAAAAGCAATAAATAAAGCTTTTGTGTATAAATTGTCTTGCACCAGAGCCTTACTGTATTGACTTTAATCTAGTACCGATAAACTAATGAAATGTAGACATATAATATGTAAGAGAAAGAGAGAATGACACCTTCCCTTGTTTCAGTTAGTAATATGAACCTATCAGATTTCTTTAGTAATATAATGTCTGTTGACAGCTCCTTGTGCCATTGGTGAATTTCATCTGTAAAGAAGCTGATCTTTTAATTGTGTAGCCAAGGGAAACAGCAACAACAATAATAACAGTAGTAGTAATAATAATACCCCTCTTAATCATAGTTCATATTTTTGCTGTTTTATTTTTAAGACAAGATACAGGTATTGCTCCGTTTTCCCCTTCTGCTGCAGTGCACTTGCAGTGCCTGCCACTTTAAGGGCTGAGTCAAGCAGCCAGCAGGGGCTTAACTGCGGCACACATTTTAAAACACTGGCTGTCTATATAAACATAGTAGTTTGCTGCGGGCAACCAGGCAGAAACATTGCCTGGCTGAAAGGCTGTATAATACATCTTGGAGGTAAGGATAGGAGCTTATGGGGACGGTTTGGAGACTCCTGGTCCTGGGCATGACCTAAATCTGCACCATGCCAGGGATGGGTGGCCTGGTGGGGCTCCTGGTGATGCAGGAAATGCCCGGCCAGTTACCACCACGGTGATAGGTGGGTTGGGATGCCTTAACCCCTAGCCCCCACAACACTGTGGGTACAAGGGGCCAGGCATGGCTATGGCCACCTGAGCCCAAAGATGGTGTAAGACCCAGGCTGGGCCAGGCAGAGCTGTGACCACCTGAACCTCCACCGGGGAGGGATACCCCAGAGTCCCAAAGGAAGGGATAGTTGTGTAACCCCAGAGACGGGGTGGTAGTGAGGGCCCAGAAGAGGGTTGAGCAGGGCTGAGGGTCAGCCTTAAGGGCAGCCCAAGGGGGTGTGCAGAGTAGGGCCGTGGGACAGCCTGAAGGGTAGCACATGGGCCAACCCCCGGGAGAGCTAGTTGAGGGAAGTGTAGATTCCCAGTGATGGAGGACAGAGACCTGGGAGCCCAGTAAGTGGGGCCGAGGGACCAGTGTATGTTTTTGTATGTTTATGTAAAGCTGCCCCAGGAGGGGCCAGGGCGAGCCTGGCCCAGGTCAGGACCTTGGCTGGCCACTACCCAGGTGAGGGTCGCAGGAGAGGCCCAAGAGACTGTATGTCTGCTACCCAAGGCATGATATGCATAAAGTCTATGGCCTTTGGGAGCTGCTTCAAGAGGGAACAGGGTGGAACAAGTTCTTGATGCAAGAAAGAGACCCTGTGAGAGCAGGTGGAGTGCTATAGGCCCCAGTGAGAGGAGGGCAGTGTGAATGTGCCTATGAAAGAGGCCTGACAGTGAGTGCTAAGCTTGGCCCGGCTGTAGGCTGGGAGCACAATGTCACCATGGATGCCATCTGTGAGGCATGTGCTGTGGTGTAGGGGAGGTTTGGAACCACAGATAGTGCCCTTTGACATCGGGCCATGTAATGGACAGTCTTCTGCATTTACCACCCATTTATGGGAACAGCAAAGTCGTGGCAGGAGAGGCAGGGTGCACTGCCCCATAGAGACAGGTGGGTGGGCCGGCATGAGACCTGGCCCCGAGCTTGCCCCCTGTCATACCTTCCTTTTTCATTTTGCTTGCATTTGTCTCCTTCTGAAAGGGGCTGCTTACAATTTTTATTTTTTTAAACAGAGGGATTTGTTTTATGGGAAAAAAACTGTAAGTGTCTGATCTTGCACCCCTAATGTCCCTTGCCACTGATTGCAATGAATGTGAGATCATAAGTCTTATCATTTAAGAAGTAATGTTGGTAATTTTATAACTTCAAGTTACACATTTTGCATGCCAAAAACTTCCAACAGAACTAGTGATTATATAGGAGACTTAATGGAAGATGATTGGGTTCTAATTCTATTGAGAATTCAACAATGAGAATTGTAAATCCTTGAAAATAGGGAGATTTAGAATAATAGAAAATTAGGGTTGGAAGGGACCTTAAGAGGTCATCTAGTCCAGCCCAACTATATTGTCCCAGCCAAGACTTTGTCTACCTGGGGCTTAAAAACCTCTAAGGATGGAGATTCTATAACCTCTCTGGGTAACCTGTTCCAGTGTTTCACCACCCTCCTAGTGAGAGATTTTTCCTGATATCTAATAGGGCTGTGCAAAGCTTCAGGTGCTGATTTGATTCAGAGGGGATTCGGCCTGATTTGGTGGCTGAATCTCTAAATCTGAATCAAATCAAGAGACCAATTAAAAGGTCCAAATCAATTCCAAGCTCTCCAAATTGATTTGGAAAACATTCTGAGAGCTTCAGTGATTTGGGCAGTCCCTGCTTGCTGCAGGGTAAGTAGGGGGCGGGGAAGGGGGAGCTGGAGGAGGGGGGAGCTGGCCCCAGCTCCCAGCTCTTTTAAAAAAAAGCCTCCACTCACTGGCTACTGCCAGGTTGGGTAGGGGGTGATCCCTGCTGCCCCCCCTAACCCCGCCCACTCTCCCAGCCACCCCCATAGCTTCCCTGCCCAACTCAGCTCCCAACCCTTAAAAAAAAAAGCCCTGACTCACCAGTTGCTCGGGGCTTCTGGGGGCTTGTGGCAGAGCCCCACATGCAGTGCGGGGCAGTGGGGGGCAGTGGGGGGCAGTGGAGATCCCCACCCCCAGCCTGGCAGAAGCCAGTGAGGGGGGGTTTTTATTTATTTATTTTTTTAAGAGCCAGGAGCTGGGAGAGTGGGCGGGGCAGCCATTGGAGGTGGGGGTGGTGAGGCCGATTTGGAGATTTGGCCAAATCTCCAAATCAGATTTGGCCGAATCGCTTCAGGACAGTGATTCTAATCGCTGAATCGAATCACTGTCCCCCGAATTGGCTGAATCTGAAGCAAATATTAGCCGCTTCACACAGGCCGAATATTTAACCTAAATTTCCCTTGCTGCAACTTGAGGCCATTGCTCCTTGTTCTGCCATCTGTCACCACTGACACGAGTTTAGCTCCATTCTCTTTATAACCACCTTTCAGGTAGTTGAATGTTGCTATTAAATCCTTCCTCAATCTTTTCTTCTCTAGACTGAACAAGCCCAGTGTCTCCTCGTAAGTCATGTTCCCCATCCCTCTAATCATTTTTGTTGCCCTCTGATGGACTCGCCCCAATTTGTTCATATCCATTCTGTAGTGGAGGGCCCAAAGCTGGACATGATGGGCTCCTATACACATGCAAGGAGCCTGCTCTGACGCACTGGAAATCCAGCGCATCAGAGCAGACTCAGTTGAGTCTGGTGGAACGCAGAAATTAATGTGCTCCAGCAGACTCTAGCATCATGTCTATCAGCGTCCCTGTGCTGAAAAATGGCAGTGGGGCATTTTGAACTAAAACTTGTTAACTAAGCTTTATCCATTTATCCAACCTGTACTTCCTTGGCTCATTGCTTGTGAGAATATTGCAGGATACCATACCAAAAGCCTTGCTAAAGTCAAGATATGTCGTCACATCCACTGATCTGCCTGCTTCTACAGAGCTAGTCATCTCATTATAGAAGGCAAGCAAGTTGGTCAGGCATGACTTGCCCTTGGCAAAGTCATTTAGGATAGGAATATCCATAATAAAAACAGTCCTTTGAGTCAAATTGCTTGAGGACCTGCTCCATGATTTTTTCCAGGGACTGAGGTGAGGCTAACTAATCTGTAGTTCCCTAGAACCTCCTCCTTCCCTTTCTTAAATATGGCCAATATATTTGCCCTTTTTCAGTCACCCAGGACTTTTCCCAATTGCCATGAGTTTTCAAAAATAATGGCCAGCAACTCTGCAATTGCATTGGCCAAATTCCTCAGCACTCTTGGATGCATCGTGTCTGGGCCTATGGACTTTTACACATCTAGCTTTTCTAAATAGTCCCTAACCTGTTCTTTTGTCACTGTTGGTGGCTCACCTTCTCCCCAAACTTTGCTGCCAGGTACAGTAGTCTGGGAGCTACTCCTGCCTGTAAAGACTGAGGTAAAAAAGGCACTGAGTACTTAAACCTTTTCTGCATCACTAGGTTCCCTCCCCCATTCAGTAGGGGACCCACACTTTCCCTGATTTTCCTCTTGTTGCTGACATACTTGTAGAAACCCTTCTTGGTATCCTTCACATCCTTTGCTAATGGCAACAAAATTTATTTTGTCACTTAACTGTAATGAACTCACATGGTTAGCCAAACATGAATGAAATGCTTATCATTTACCTTGCTAGGAATATCCATAATAAAAACAGTCCTTTGAGTCAGCATCAAATTAAAATGTTCCAAACTGACTTCTATTTTTTTTTCTATTTACATAATTATTTTAGGAACACATCTCCAGAAAATCTGTAAGTATTTTTCTAATTGGGCCTCTTTCATGAAGTTAACTGTGCTTAATTCTGCTATTTTTATAGCTATTTTTATTTCTATTAAAGGGCCACAAAATATCAGCATAAATTTCCTTATGATAATGATGTGTATACTGAGACTGTAAATGGATGATGCATCTGGGACAAAGCATTTTGTCTTGGGATCCTACAGACACATACCTCCACTGTCTTACTTTAAATCCCTTTGAAGTATGTAGCATAAAATGTACTGATGTGTTTTCCTGGGATATGGCTATATGAATCCATAGGATTATTTTGGGTCATTTTAGAGATGTACTGGCCAGGAAGTATACTCTTGCTGGTCACCGACTGAGAAGCAAAAATGCAAGTAGGAAGGGTGATGTGTATAAATGACTGTTAAGCCTGTTTTGATGCGAGTCAAACCCTGGGACAATTAGGCCCACCTGGTAGTTAGATAGATAGCTTTTATTTAACAAGCAATGCAAGGGAGCACATTAATAGAGTCCAACAACCAGAAAAAGGGAGGGCAATAGAGTTCTGGCTGTGTTATCAGAGTGGTCAGTGGCATCAGTCAGGGAGGAAGGGGGAAATGCAGAGTGAGGAAGTGTGGGATGCCTGGAGGACTGATGAGGCCTGCGCCCATTGAATATTTTGTTGTGCCCACATAACACTGCACTAGTTCAAAATGTACTGATTCAAACAGTACTTGATTTTCCAGGTACACTTTTGAACCATTCAAGGAGGTACCGAACTGGATTAACAGGCATATATGGGCATCTATACACATGCTCCAGTGGGACGGGGGAGAGGCGGTTTAATTAGAGTGGCTACAAGAGCCACTTTAATTAAAGGGCCTAGAGTGTTTTGCATATCAGCGTCCCTGTGCTTCAAAATAGCACCCCACCATCATTTTGAAGCATGGGGATGCTGATACATGAGACAGAGAATGACTGGAGCATGGTAATTGCCATGCTTCAGCAGATTCGATTAATCAAGTCTTCTCCGATGTGCTGTAAGTGCAGCACATTGGAGCAGCCTCCACATTTGTGTATATGTACCCTGTATCTTCAGGTTTAAAGCACATTTAAACCATTCTAAGTGTTATGTGTGTCCATGCCCCTACCTATATGTTTTTCTTTTTGTTTGCATGTTACTCAGATGAGCTTCAACGAGAAATTGGTGAGTTTTTCTCTTTTTGTAATGTTGTATTTTCTATGCTCTTAAATTTCTACATCTTACTGTTATCTTGCTGCCCATCAGTGTGCTATCAGAACACACTGCACATAACGTCTAGGAGACTTCATGGAGAATTTAGCTCTTCCCCCTCTGAGCAAAACCTCTGCTTGTGGTTCTTGCTGATCAGAAGGCATCAGCACTTTGAGTTTAATCCTCACTGGGATGAGGGTGGCATTTTGTTCCCTTTTTTTTCATAAGTGTTTAGTCCTACTCATCTACATGGCAATTTTGTTCCTCTATTCCTGGTCTCATAAGCCTGTATGTGTATATGAATGCGTACATATAGATGATGAAAACTGGACACTTAAATGACCAGGAAAGTGGTTTTTATGCCAGCGTCTACACATGCATGCATTACAGCACAGTAACACTGTGTGTGGACTGATTTGGGACTAAAGTTATTCCCAAGTCAGTCTATACAAACAGGATTACTGCCCAGTAAGGTGTCTACATGTGCCTTACTGTGCAGTAACTGCTCGGGCATAATTTTGCTACCTGCATCAAGCAAGTAGCAAATTTATGCCCAAGTTGGCATAAGTTGGCATTGTTACTGCACAGCACGGGTGCACACATATAGACACATGCCCATACTGCTCAGTAATTTTTGATTACTGTGCAGTAGCCTATGTTACTGTGCATGTGTAGATGCACCCAGTTAGTACTTCAACACATTGCCCCATTTCTGTACAGCATCACTCTGGTCTTGCCTAAATTCAGTTTAGCAGCTGCTTTTCATTTAAAAGTCCCTTTACTATTGCATTTGCTGGGAAATGTTTTCATCCCTGCTTTTCTGTTTGCTTTCAGAATGGAGAAAAAGTACAATCCACCCAGGTAATGAGACATCTGACTGAATCAACATTAAAAGCTCTCTTTTTCCTGAGATTTCCACTTTACTTTTCTTATATGCTCAAACTGTAAGACAGACTAAGAGTTTGGGTCATGAATATGTCTTTACTAAGGTGAAAAGACTTATGAGCTCTTTGGCCAGATTATTTATTTTGGGGAGTAGTGTGTTTCCGTCTCACTGGGGGGGCCATAGAATGATAGTAAAGTGGTTGAAGGATCTGGAGAATCTGGGAGGGAGAAGTAGAAAAACACTCAGAAGGGGTCTAGTTAATGGCTTGGCTGCTCAGCAGTATTTTCAGAAGCTTTCCTGTGATCCCATGTGGCCAAACACCAGCTGCTGATCAGAAGGAGGAAGGTCACACAGTCATTTCACTGAAATACCCTGCAGATAGCTCATCAACTATGTAAACCCAAACATGGGGCAGAATCAGAGCTACATGGAGGGATGGAGAGCCAGAAAAGTGTCTTGGTGGGGTGTGGGCAACCAAGTCTGGGGCCACTCAGAGATTGAGGTGCTAGTGAGGGTCAGGAGGGGTGAACAGAATCTGGGGACAAGCCAGGAGGTCAGTCTGAGAGTGGGATCTAGGACTGAGTCAGAAAGCAAGGAGATCAGGCAGAGAGTGGGGTCAGAGAGGAAACCAAGTTGAGAAGCAAGGAGATCAGGGAGAGAGCGGAGTCAGAGCACAGACCAGAGGGAACAGCAAAAGAGATCCAGTAAAATCCTGTTGTCCAGATATTTCCTGTTCCTATGCAGCGGTTTATATGGGGGAAATGAAAGGTCAGCTGACCCTGACTGGGCATTTGGGTGACAGGGAGTGGGTAGAGGGTTAGGATCTGCTAGAGGTTTCAGACAAATCTTGCCCTGTCTGGGTGGTCGGTGTGGAACAGTAGACCTGGAAGAGTGGCTGTGTTGACCAGGCTGAGGCCATAGGCTGAAGGCCATGGCCTGAAAGAAGGACATGGGAAGAGTGTGGTCTGTGGAATTTCTTGTTGAAGAATGCTTAGGAAGAAGGAGGAGAGGGAGGACATAAGCAGGAGCACCGAAGGAATGCCTGCCTCTCTGAACAAGTTGACAGCATCTATTTAGCTTTAAAAAGACTTTTGACAATGTCTTTTCCCAGAAGTTCTACAAGAATCTCTCTCTTATTTGGGTGCCTATTACATGTGCTCTGGGGTGATTTAAAAAAAGAATCTATAGTGTAAAAATATTCGGACTTGTGCTTTTTTGCAAGTTCTTTGAAACAGAAGAATTGTTCTATTATTTTTCTGTAGTCAAAAAATGAGGGAAAGCTCAGAACTGGCATTTTCTGAGGAATACTTTAAGTCTAATGGGAGGTGCCTTGAGCTGAAACAAGCTAAGAACCACTGGTGTAATATCTGCTGTTTGTGAGGTTTGGGCCAACTAACAAGTGAGTTTGGGGCTGATCATTTTTAGGACTTTGGACTCCACAGTGTGTCCACAAGTGGTGTACGCACATGGCATAACATATATATGAGGCTATGGTGTAGCCGACTCCATATGTCTCAGCTATATATGTGTCATTATAGCTGCTCATTGCTGAGAAATGTAAGTGCCAAAATGCTACATAGTTGATCAAAACCCCATGCCACTTAGATGCCTAAAAAAAAAAGAATTTCTCCCCACCCCATACATTTGCCTCTCAGCTGTTGTCTTTCGCTTTCAGTCTGTCATTTATTGCATCTCTCCAAATGTGTACCCAGTGGTGACATGTAGGGGGTGCATGGGGGTGCATGTGCGCTCCCTGAGAGTGCTGGTGCACCCCCTGACCAGCCATGCTCACTGTGGTGCTCCTGGAAGGGGCTGCAGTGATCGGTCATCTTGCGATCAGCCGCGGTGGGGGGGAAGCCCGTGATTGGCCATGGCAGGGGGACCCCCCTTGGTTGCTGACTCATTGCTGGGGGGCATATGCCCCCCTGGCTAAGGTGGCACTAGTCACCCATGCGTGTACCCATTCTGTTTCCTTTTTCCACCATGAAACTCTTGGCATTTTGTGTGCATGTTGTCTTACTCTCCTTTATCACATTGTTAGGTATTCTTTTCTGTTGTGCCTCAGACATCTGGGAAACTGGACTTGCTTTTTAGCACCAAAATCTGGGCCATCATAAATCTTTGTGCCATGTAGGCTATTTCTTCACTGAGTTTCCAGCACCTCTGTGTTGTGGCTTTCTTGGTGTGGGAGTACCGCTAAGCGACTGGGTTCACTAGAACCTGGAAGGGGGGAGGTGGAATACAATGAGATTTTAAGATGGGGGCAAGAAACTGTGAGGGGAGATGAGATGCATGATGGAGACAACATGACTACACTCTTCTGGGGCTCCACTATAACCTCCGGGTCTCTAAGCCCCTCTTCAAGGACAGGTGGGTGCAGGAATGAAACTGGGAGGAATGATTCTGGGTCCCAGCCCTTGCCCAGCTGATCATTACATTTTGTTACTGACCCACCTCTATCCACAGGGGATGCATTAACTTTGTCTGTAGGAGGGAGACTTCCTGATTCACCCTTCAGCTGGGGCTGATTCTGTCTCTGAATTGATCAAATGCTCCCCCAGGGATAAGCCCTGGCCCTGATGCACTGCTTTTCTCTCCCTCTACAGAAAATCTGACTGTGGATCGTGACACTGCAAATTCATTTCTCATCGTGTCTGAGGACAGGAAAAATGTGAGACGGGCAGACACGCGGCAGAATGTGCCTGACAATCCTGAGAGATTTGATTCGTGGTCCTGTGCACTGGGCTGCGAGGTCTTCACCTCAGGAAGACACTACTGGGAGGTGGAGGTGGTTGAGGGACGATTCTGGGCAGCGGGCATTGCCAGGCAGTCTGTGAGGAGGAACACATTGACCGGCCCTAACACTGAGGAGGGGATCTGGGCTGTGGAGCAATGTGGAGGTCGATGCCAGGCTCTCACTGCCCCTCGTCCCACACCCCTGTCCCTGAACCAGGTTCCCAAGAGGATGCGGGTGTTTTTAGACATTGAGGGGGGGTGGGTGGCATTTTTCGATGCTGATACTGAGGACCCAATCTTCACCTTCCCACCAGTCTCATTCACTGGGGAAGGATTCCGCCCCTGGCTCTGGTTGGGGGTAGCTGGATCCCAGCTCCAGCTGTGCCACTGAGACAAATGGGGAATGGACCAGAGAAGACCTCTAAATCAGGCACTCTCAGTCATGCTCAGCTCTCTCTTGAAGACTTTTAACCATGTAGTCTCGGTGACCCTAGAAGATCAGTTCTGGGTTTCTGCAGTGTCACACCATACAGAACAGGAAGAGACGGAGATGGAGAAGCCAACCCCGTAGCCCACCTGTTATACCCTTCTTGGCTTCGGTGGACTCTGGCAGCCCGTAGGATCAGACAGAAATGATGGGGAACCAGAGAGGATGGGGTGAATAACAGTGAAGTTGAAAGCCGAAGGCTGGGGGGCCATGAAATTTGTAAATGCACTTGAATCTGACAGTGACATGTATTGCATAGTTCACCTATTTAAACTCCTAGAACAAGACATGTGAAACTATACATGTGATTATTTTTAAATGTTGACCCTTTTTCTTGTTATTAAACAATCAATCTTTTCAGATGATTGGATTTCCTTGCATTCATGGTAAATAAAATTATTTTTGATCAATAGAAAAGATTTTTTTTTGGTTTTGTGGTCTTTAGCTCTTTCACTTTTTGTGATTTTTTTTTTTTTTGGGTCGGGAGAAGGGAGATGGAAGAAGCAGGTACCTTCAAATAATTTGGTTTCTCACTGCGCAGAACAGGTTGTATCACTGGGAAAATGTCATATGGCAAACTGATAGGCTTGCAGGCATTGCTGTGTAGAAAGAAAGCCAAATATCACTGGACAGTTGGCAGCTTGCCCTTCCTGATATTTTACAAACCCAAAGCTGGAAAATTTTAAATAATGTGCAAATAATCTTCTTCCAGGACTGCTACAACAAGGTGTGTTAATATGTGTGGTCAGAGTCTTCGATGTGTAAGAATTTAGGATGCAACTCTTCTTATAAAGAGCTAAAGTTAACTGTGCACTATACGCATTGAAAAAGGCATGAAAGTCGATTGTGCATTGATACATTCTCCTTTTTTTTTGGGAAATCAAATATTTTCTGATGTTCCCTGTCTTGTAGAGCAGCTGAACAAAAGCATGGGTAATGGTCAGCTCATCCTAGGTTTCCAGGTAAGCTGTGCTACAGTAAAGATTTCCAAGTTAACAGGTACCTATTGACATGTTGGGAGGCTGCTCTGCCTGCTGTAATTACAGATCATTGGAGAAGACTCAGTGCTAATTACCGGATTCCAGCCAGCCTCCACGTCTCATGTATTGGTGTCCCTGTACTTCAAAATGGCAGCAGAGCACTTTAAAGCTCATTTGACGAACTTTAGTTAAAATACCCCTGCCACTATTTTGAGGCACGGGGATGATGATACCTGAGATTATGAGGGTGCATTAATTAGAGCAGCTCTTGGAGCCACTCTAATTAAATTGCCCCACTCCCTCAGCCTCAGAGCACAAGTCAAAATGCCCCCCCCCCCCCCCAATGTCCAGAGACTGATGCAAGTAAAGAAAACAATGTTGACAAGTGCAAAGTAATGCATATAGGGAAAAATACCTTTAACTACATATACACAAGAATGAGCACTGAACTATCAGTTATGACTCAGAAAAGAGTTTGGAATCACTGGGGATAGTTTGCTAAAACCATTGGCTCAGAGCACAGCAGCGACCAAAAAAGGACAATGAAATGTTGGACATTATTAAGAAGGAAAATAAAAACAAAATGAAAAACATTATTATGCTACTATATAAATTAATGATGCTCCCCCATCTTGATTACTGCATGCAATTTTGTTCTCCACATCTCAAAAACCATGTGGTGGTATTAGAAAAGGTACAGAAAGGGTCAGCAAAGATGATCAAGGGGAAGGAGCAGATGCCATACCAGGAGAACTGAAACATTAGGCTTCTTCAGTTTGGAAAGGAGAAAGCTGAGGTGGGGATGTGATAGAGCAGTGGTGCTCAAACTTTTTATCCAGTGGGCTGGATGTGTAGTGCCTGGCCCATCTGTAGGCTGGACCCAATCCAGCTCTGGGACTGGTACAGCCAGCACTTGTCTGGCTGCATAGATGGGGGCTGGGGTGGAGAAGGGGGCATCACCCAGCCCCAAGCAAGCCATGCAGAGGGAAGGAGGTGTGGCTGGGCCCAAATCTAGCCAGGCAGGGGGAGAATCATGTTCAGGCTCTGACCTACCATGTGGGGCTTGGGATTTTGGCAGCAAGGAGGGGTGGCAGTGTTAACTGCCACTGCTCTCCTACTGCCAAATTTCCTGGCCCTTCAGGAACCCTGCAGGCTAGATTCTAAGGCTCTGTGGTCTTCATTTGGCTTTCAGGCTGGAGGTTGAGAGCCCCATTAATAGACATCTATAAAATCATGAAGGATGTGGATAAAGTGAATAAGAAACTTGTTCACCAGGTTCAGAATACAAGAACTGGGGCCACTCATTGAAATTCATTAAACAACAAAAAGGAAATACTGTACTTTTTAACTCAGCATGTAGTTACCTTGTGGAACTCATTGCCACAGGGGATTGTAAAGGCAGGTAGTACCACTGAGCTCAAAAAGGGATTAGAAAAAAATCATGGAGAATAGATCCATTGAGAGCAATTAAATAGAACAGCCGGGAATATATCCTCAGACATCCCCAAACCAATAATGGTGATACCAGGGTGAGTAGGACAGGGGGCGGATTACTCTTGAGCTACCCTGTTCTTTTACACTTGTATTTATAGTTAAAGCTATTGCTAAAAGCTAATCTTGCAGGGCAAGGACATTAATGTTCCCAATAATTTACTGTTTTTATTCTATAATAAATTACAATAATTTTGATGTAATTTTTACTATGATGTCTGAAATTCACCATAGTTTAGGTGAAAAAAGCAAGAAGACGCTGCTCAAACTCTTTCCTGAATTCAAGTAACCTGAGACACCTAAATCTTTTGAACAGCTGTAGTAGAGTTGCATTTTACAGGGCAGCAAATATTTCTTTAAGAAAGAAGTCACCTGGCAGAGTCTGAATGAGCTGTCTCACCTTTGAACTCAAATACTGCAGAAGGAACATGTGTATCAGGTTGAAACAGAAAGAGTTTTCTTTAAAAATGTAAAGGAAGTTTCTGATCAAATTCTCCAGCTATTTTATAACTGGTACTAGCTGTGAAACTTGACAAATTAAGAGAGCTTATAGTTCAAATGACTATTTCAGTCCAACTCCTAACAACACTGAGGCTTCCCTTTGATGGGGTGGTAACATGCTAAAGATTGTAAAACTTCTCAGATCAATCAGGTACATAAAGTTTGATGGCTTAACTTCCTTTGATATAAATGACCTTGTAATAGCAACTGCTTTTTTTGACAGGTAGTTGAATAATACAATTATTAAAAAATGTTGTGACAGTTTGGATTTTCTTTAGGCAAACATTACACGTGCAATCAAAATACATTTTAGAAAATGCATTCATAGTAAAGTAACGAGTTATTTTGATGGCATATTGCACTATAACTAATTCATTTATTTAAATTCTGCACTTCATTTAAAACAGTAGGTGCAATACTGACCTCAAGAAGTCAAAGAAAAATTTGTAGCAGTTTTCAAGTTCTGACCAGAGGGCTAAATACTTTGACTTTTTTTTTTTTTTTTGGGGGGGGGGGGGGGGAGGGGGGAATGTAGCAGAAAAAAACCTTCTAGAATCAAAATGGAAAATGGCATCATTTATTCATTTTTAAGCCAGTGGGAGTTAAAGATATGTTTAAGTATTGCAGAATAGATATATAGGGGTGCTCATCAGGATCTGGGGGAATGTCTGTTCACCAGAGTGCCCCAAGGGATAACAAGGATCAACAGTCATAAACTCCTCCAAGACCATTTTAGGCTGGACATAAGGAAAAACTTCTTTACTGTCCGAGCCCTCAAGACCTGGAATAGACTCCCTCCAGGAGTGGTGCAGGCACCTACTCTGGACTCTTTCAAGAAACGTTTGGATGCTGATCTTGTTGGGATCCTTTGACCCTAGCTGACTTCCTGCCCCTGGGGCAGGGGACTGGCCTTGATGATCTTCAAGGTCCCTTCCAGCCCTAATGTCTATGAAATCTATGAAATTTGCCATGTTAGTCTGAAGTCAGTCAGAAGGCAGGGTAGATATGCGCCTTTAGAGAGTAAGTAAGTAAGATATACAAGCAGGGATGACTGGTGCCTCCTGAGTCTGGGGGGGCACAACTATAGAGTTGCAGGGCAGAGTTGTGGGGTCAGCTAAGCTCAGAGAAGAGTGGCTGAACCTCATAGGGACCCCAGAGGTGTGGGGCCCCTGAGCGCAACCAGTGGGTTGCGGGCAGGGAACAGACCCCGGGTTGTATG